TTTTTTTTCATTCCTTTCAGGCAGTTCTTCTCATCTGTTCTATTGCAGTGTGCATTTTCTATCCACTCTTTTCCCAATCTCTCCCCAACTCCCCTATGTCTGTCTTATTTTAAAACAGCAGTGTTATGCAGTGTTTGTCCATTTGTGACTGAGATATTTCACTCAGTGTAATGTTCTCCAGGCTTCCCGATGTTATGTAATGTTTTACAAGTTCATTGTTTTTCTGTCCTGCACAATATTTCATTGTGTGAATGTACCATAGTTTTTCTATCTATTCTTTTGTTAATGGGCCCTTGGGCTGATTCCATCTCTTTGCTTTTGAGAGTAACACAGCAATAAACATGAGTGCACACACATCCGTTTTAGTCATGATTCTAGTTTCTTTAGGGTATATTCCCAGTAGTGGAATGGCTGAGTCAAATGGTATTTCTATTTCTAACTTTTTGAAAAAGTGACAAACCATTTTCCATAGTGGCTGTACCATTTTACACTCTCATCAACAGTGAATAAGAGTTCCAATCTCTTGCTGTCCTGTTAACCTTTGCCACTGCTACTGGAGTGAGATTGTGGTTTTGACTTCCTTCTCTCTTATTGCCAGTAATTTTGGAGCATTTTTTCCTGTGTGTGTTGGCCATCCAAGTATCTTCCTCTGTGAAAATTCTTTCCATGTCTTTTGCCCATTTTGTAATTGTGCTATCAGTCTTTTTTTTTCTTGTGGAGGCCTTGATATTAGACCCTTGTCTGAAATGATATTGCCAAATGTTTAATAAATATTGTAAAGGATGTGGCGAGTTAGAAACTCTTACACATTGTTGGTGGGATTTTAAAATGGTACAAACACTTCCTCAAAAAGCTGAACATAGACATTCCATATGACCCAGCTTTTCCACTTCTTGGAATATACCCCAAGAAAATGAGACCTGAGGCACAAACAGAGAATTGTACACCAGTGATCAAAGCAGTGTTATCCACCATCACAAGAACATGGAAATAGCCCAAATGTCCAGCCAATCGAATGGGCTGAGAAATTATGGTACATTCACACGATGGAATACTATGCAGCACACAGGCACAATGATTTTGTAAATTACTACCTAAGTTGAGAGGGACTGGAGAGCATTATGCTACGTGAACTAAATCAGTCCCATAAGGACAAATACTATAAAAAGACTATTATTGTAGAATGAGTATGAGGATCCAAGGGGGATGGGTGGGAGCAGAGAGGTGGGGGGGCCTTAATCATAGGGTCACACAATTTGATGGGTGAAGGGAGAGGGGTGAAGGAAATGGGAAAGATCTGGTGTGAAAAACAATACTTTGTAAATAAACCAGTATAATTTTTTTTAAAGAGTTCCAGTCTCTCCACAACCTCATCAGTATTTGTTGTTTGCTGCCCTGTTAAACTTTGTTATTGTTTCTGGGGTGAGATGATGATCTCATAGTTGTTTTGTCTTTGACTATTTTTATAATTTTAGGTTTTATGTCTAGGTCTTTAATCAGTCTTAAGTTAGTTTGTATATGGTGTGAGGTATGAATATTGTTTACGTTTTCTACACATGGGTGACCATTTTTTTTTATTTTATTTTTTTCCACACCATTTTTTTAAATAGACTACCTTTTCCTCACTTAATGGATTTTGTCTCTTTGGTAAAGATCATCAGTCCATAGTCCATATCTCTAACAATTCCTATCTAATATTTTGAGTTACTTTCGTCAGTTTGATCCTATGTAGACAGCTTTTAAAAAAGCATAATGCTCAAGGACGGAAGACCTTTTTTTACTAGTTAGGCTAAAGTATTGTTTGGTTTAAAGAATACTCCAAGAGATAGTTGTTGCATAAGATTTAAAGATTACTTCAGGACAATTGTTTCAGGGGCTCATACAACCTTTATGGCTCAAGCATGCCTGGAGTACATATTGTTGTTGTTGTTGTTATATGCTGTTGAGTCAACTGTGACCCCTAGCTGCTGTGTACAGCAGCTCTGAACTCTACCCTGTCCTGAGCTAGTCTCACTAATTCCAACACACCAACCCCCATTGCCCCAGTTACTGTATCAATCCATCTCATCTGGGGTCTTCCTCTTTCTCCTGCACTGTTGCTCCTCCCTTCCAAGCATGATGTCCTTCTCCAAGGACCAGTGTCTCCTGGCCACGTGCCCAAAGTATGTGAGATGGAGCTTCAAAATGCTCGCATCCAAGGAGGAACTTAGTTTCATCCTCTCCAAGACAGACCTATTTGCTCCTCTGTATGTGTTCACCTAGTTGTGCCAAGAAATCTGGAGGACAACTACTTGGCCAACTGATTGGAAGAGATCTGTATTTATTCCCATTCCAAAGAAAAGTGACCTGACAAAGTGTGGAAATTATCTAACAGCATCACTAACATCACAGACTAGCAAAATCCTGCTGAAGATTATCCAGAAACCACTGGAACAGACAGAGAACTACCAGAAATAAAAGTTGGGTTTAGAAGAAGTCATGGTACTAGAGACATTATTGCCAATGTCAGATGGATCTTGGCAGAAAACAAAGAGTACCAGAGGCATATCTATGTATGTTTCATTGATTATACAAAGACATTTGACTGTGTAGCCACAACCGATTGTGGCTAACCTTGAGGAGAATGGGAATCGTAAAACACTTGATTGTGCTTATGTGAAACCTTTACCAGGAAGCAGTACTAAGAACAGAGCAGGGAAACACTGCATGGTTCAAAATCAGGAAGGAAGTGTGTCAGAGATGTGCCCTGTCACCATACCTTTTCAATCAATATGCAGAACAGATCATTTGGGAAGCAGGGCTTTATGAGGAGGAATGTGGAGTATATGAGAATTTGAAATTCTGTTCTGCATTTCTCCTCCTTTGATCAGGATTCTTTTGTGGAATCTTTGACAGAATTGTGCACCATCCAATTCTTTTAGATTCATGGTAAAGGAGGCAGTTAGCATGAAGACAATTTTTTGTATATTCTGTATCTTCTTTGTATTTAATTAGTCTTTTTTACTTGTTTCAATGTTGCAGCTCTATTCATATTTTCTATTTCATTTTTAATTATATTTAATAATTTGCATCTTTCTAGGCATTAATTTGTCCATTTCATCTTGGTCATTTATTTTGTGAGATTGATGTATTTTCATCTGAACAATAAAAAAGGAAGTTTATCATTATTAAAACCAAGAGTAAAGGATGAGATATAACTATGAATGTTCACTGATATTAAAAGACACTTTATAATACTATCACTTATATACATATTGTGGTTTCATGGAGTGTCATTACTCTACTGAATTGTAATACTTTATCATATATATATAATTTCCACATGTTGTTGTTATGTACTGTCAAAGCGCTGCAACTCATTGAGACCCTTGTACAACAGCCCTAAACCTTGTTATATCCTGTGCCTATCTTATTGTCTCTGATACACCTATCCCCATTACTCCAGTGACTGAATCAATCCATCTCATCAAGGGTCTTCCTTTCTTGCACTGTCCCTCCACCCTCCCAAGCATGATGTCCTTCTCCAAGGACTGGTCCCTCCTTGCTACATGTCCAAAGTATGTCAGATGAAGCTTCAGAATCCTGCATTTCCACATAGTCAGCAATATTTATGAAATTTCTATTATGGTATACTTATATATTTGTCTTCTCTTAGGCCAGTACCTGCAATTTTATGGTAAAGTGGAATATCTAGTATAGCAAGTTCCTCTTTATTTTCCTCTTTTTAAAAAATTATCTTAGATATTCTAAAAAATTAATTGTCCATTTAAATCTTTGAAGTAAAGAAGAAAATTCACTAGTAATTGGTTTTTAAATTTCACAAAATATGTATACATACATATATGCATGCATATATATATATACATTGACCATCTTGTAAATAGATATTAATTTAAGCATTATAATATTCATTTAAATAGCTCATTTGAAGTAGAAACTACTAAGTGATACAAAGCACATTAAAAGGAAGCAGATTTGCTTTTGCTTTTCAAGAAAAGGAGCAAACTGGGGGTGGGGTGGGGTTGGGGTGGGTGGGGAGAAAAGTGCAACAATGTGAATGGAATTAAAAAGAAAGGAAGCAGATTTATGCAATGTTTGTATAATTGTTTTCTTGACACAGGGTGAGTACTTTTGAAAGCAGTGCCATCAGGATATTAAAAGAAAAAATAATATCACGAAAAACTGACCTCATTCATGCTTTTGAACTTCATGACCGCAGTAAATCAGGTAATAAAATTGTGTAATGTTTGCTATTTATTAGCATAGCAAGTAATAATACTGATCAATTTTTGTTCTTTTTGCTTTTTCAATATTTCAATTCTTTATTTTTACTAGAAAGGAAGATAAACTATTATGTGGGGAAAATGCCACATTCCTCTTTGTCAGTAAATCTCTTTTCATTAAAACCAGCAATAACAACCTAGAATTAGATTCTGTTCTGGTAGTATGTCTGACTAGACCCTCTCCAGGGCTCTTCTGTTAAACAACTAGCTTTTGGAAGAGGCAGGATTTTAATGCATTTGCCAAAGTCACCATAAGTGAGGTCAATCTTCAGGCTGTATCTCCTCTCCCTATGAAGGACCATTTCAGACCACATCTGGAACATGAAGCAGAAGCAAGCACAAAAGGCTGAGCTGCTCTAGAGCTAATATCAGGGTGGCAGTCAATCCTGAGACGAAATGATGGGGTAGAAAGATGCAAAAGCTAGATTTTAGACCTCCACACTAATCCTGGACACTCAAAATGTCTAAAGTAGACCTAGGTTTGCAGTACAGCATGGTTTCTGGAAGAAATCAGATGCAGATCTATCTTTACAAGAAGTATCCCTACTTGTGTCTGTTCATGTGTTCAGAGATTATGATCTCCAAATATGACTGTACCACTAAAGATTATCAAACAAATGAGGGGGAAAGCTCTACATTATTTGCTGTTTCAGGATAAATACAAATAATAGATTGAGTTTCTCAAGGACATCAGATGTTGGAATTGTCATGTACACAATATAAAATAACTAAGTAAAAATGTCTTAAAGGTTGGAATCACACAGGGAAAGAAGTATTTTTTAAAACTCTGATATTTTTAAAATATCTTTTAAAATTAAAATTAATATATAGTTTAAACAGAAGATTTAAGACTTATTAAACTAATTCTTATTTAAATTAAAGAGACTAAGAGTTACAGCAATCAGGACGGAAAAATTTAAATTCATAATCATAATCTCAGGAGAGAGGAGATAAGAGTCCAAGAGAGGAAATATTTGACACAATAATGGCTGAGATTTTTCCAGAACTGATGAAAGCCTCAAAGTCCACAGGTAGAGAGGAACAATGATTCTCAAGCAGGAAAAATAAAATTAAATCTATACCTACAAATGCTTGTGATGAATACCAATACAAAGAAAAAAAAATCTTTAAAATGGTAGGGTTGTTATGTGCCATCAAGTCAAGTCGATTCATAGCAACCCTATGAACAACAGGTCTGAATCCTGTCTTATCCTGTCCCTTCCTCACAGTCTTTTACATCCTGAAGTTCATTGCTGCAGAGAGAAAACAGTTTTTGTCTAAAAAGAGACAGTAATTAAACTGATAACAATTTTCTCACAGAAGCAATAGAAGTCAGTAGCCAGTGGAATCACATGTAAAATATGTTGGAAGTGAAATTTGAAAGAAGATATACCATGCATATTTTTAAAAGGTAGCTGAAATATTTGAATTAATATCTGTCAAAGTAGATTTTGAGAAAATGTACATTACTAGAAATAAAAAGGTATACTCTGTGATCATGAAGCCAACTGTGAATTCAATTTAATAAAATAGCCTTTAAATATATTTAAAAAGCACTAACAGAACAAGTAGTAAAAAAAATACACCATCATAGTTGTTGTTATGTGCCATTGAGACCATCATAGTAGAAAATATTATTGTTCTCTCAGGAACTGAAACAGAAAAAATATATTAAAAATAATTAAGGATATAGAAGATTTTAACAACAAGGTTGACCTAAAAGATATACAATTGCAGTAATATGCTCTGTAAAAATTTGTGAGTTCTGAATTACCACTATAAAGTTATAATAGAATTTTTAAATCCTGATCAGAGAATGGTTCATAGCAGATGTCAATGACATAGCAAATACAGCAGCTTCTTGCTCATACATGTGTCTCAGGTCTTTTGTATACAAGGAAATTGTGCTGTCAGGCATCCAATGATATAGTGCATACATAAAAAATAATCCATATGTCTCGATGGTCATAACAAACTATATTATTGGCTTTGTGTGTACTGTACTTTATCTTTTATTTATTATGAAATTTTCCTACTTAAAAATGAGAAGTTAACACATAACAGCTGCCTTCAGCTTGTTGGCAGCAGCATCCAATTTTGTGTATCACATGGCTCTTGAGTGTTGTTGTGTGATCTGTTTGTTTTTCAAAAATATCACCATGAAGCTCATCATGGTTCCTAAATGCAGCAAGCCAGTGCTAATGATAGCAATAATAGGAGGGAAAGTAGGAGCATCCATTTGGAAATTAAACAAAAGGTTATTAAACAACATGAAGGTGGAATAATCAATGAATGCTATTACTTGTGATTAGGGCACATTCACACAACATCTAAGTCACACAGTATCCTAGTTCACAGAATGCATTATGAACGTTAAGCAACCATGACTGTATATGTGCAAGAAAAAAATAAAACCAGTTTTTAAACAGACTCTCTTAGAGAACAGAAATAATGGGAATGCTTCCCAGGTTGTTTTGGAATGTCAGCATAATCTTGATACCAAAACCTACCCAAAAACATTATAGAAAAGGAAAGGTAAAAGAAAATCAAGCTCGAACATTAAATTTAAAAAATCCTAAATATGAGCAAAAAGTTAATACTGAGCCTTTCGGTTCATAAACCAAGATCAGTTTATTCTAGAAATGCAAGATGATTTTAACCTAGGAAAACCAATCAATGTAATTCACTACTTCACAGGGTCCTTCTCTAGTAGGTGGTAGGTGGTGGTTTTTGATTGCCATTGAGTCGAGCATGATTCATAGGGACCCTATGAACCAAAGACCTGAAGACTTTTTATAACTATCGTCGTTTCTCAAAGTTCGTAGAGTTTTCAGAGGCATGCTGTTTAGTAAGGGTAAATTTGGAGCAGAGTGGAAATATATTGATAACTGATATAACCAGCAATGGTGGCACACTGGTTAAAGAGTTATAGAGTTTGGCTGCTAATCAAGAAGTTGTCAGTTTAGATGCATAAGAGATCGATGTGGTAGTCTGGTTCCTTAAATACTTATAGCTTTGGAGATCTCACTGGACATTTATACTCTGTCCTATGCAGTTGCTGTGAGTTGAAACTGGCTCCACAGAAATGGGGTAGGAAGCAAATAACATAATATAATGAGGATTTTAAAAGATACTATTCACAATAGATTAAACTTTTCTGTAAAATGCTGGCCTGTCTGATACTTCTCTATATCTGAACATTCAGACTAAGACAGACTAGGAAGAAGGATTGGCCATCTACTTCTGAAATAGCAGGCCTCTGAAAACCCTATGTACAACAGAACACATGTAGATAACAGAAAGGGCAACTGAAGTAAAGCTTTCAGGTATGGAAATACAACGGAAGAGGAACAGTTGTGAGAACCATGAATGTAGGAAAATTAGATATTGTTAAGGGAGAAATGGAATGCATAAATGTTGACATACTAGGCATTGGGGAGATGAGATGGAATGGCATGGGGCATTTTGAGTTGCTTGATCATGTGATATATTACTCTGGAGATGAAAAGATGAGGAAAAACGGAGTTGCTCTCATAGTCAAGAAAGCCATTGCTAGATCCATCTTGAAGTACAATATTGACAGTGACAGGATAATATCCATACGCATACAAGGAAGGCCAGTGAATACCACCATCATTCAGATATATGCACCAACAACCAAAGCCAAGGAAGAGGAAATAGAAGATTTTTACCAACTTTTACAGCTGGAGATAGATCGAACATGCAATCAAGATGCATTGATAATAATGGGTGA